TATGTCGGAACACCAAGACCCTGCCATTTCTGCAGAACTTCGGGATTGGCTATTTGCCACCATTGCGGAGTCCATTCCCAAAGCTCTGGCAGCTTACCATGAGCAATCTACTACAGAGGTTAATCCCTCTACACACCAGCCCTCTGACTCCGAGGATTCCCATTTTTCAGACCAAGACAGTGCCCCGCGCAAAAGACCCTGGAAAGGGAATAGCGCTACTGCGGGCAAAGGCAAAGCTCCTGCTAAAATTCTCAAACATTCCCAACCATTCGTTATGCAGAATCCGACAGACCCTCTTGAGGGCTCTACCTCCTGATTAGCTGGTCATATCTTAAACGATTATGACACCACCTACTCTGATGAGGATCCTACGGTGAATGTGCCCTAGGATTCCTCAACGTCAGAGTTTGTTAAGGAAACTTTTCATGCTCAGGATACTAAGGGTGCCCCCCCATCTAAAGAGCCTGCCTCAGACACCCTCCTGGATGCTTCAGGCCTTCCCCTTTTTGATCCAAGGGTGATTCGTCACCCACGGTCTGCAGAATGGACCCCTCCTGATCACATTGCCAGTTACTGCAAGATGTGGCTTCGCAAGCCCCTCGAAAAAGAACTCAGAAATAAATTGAGGGCTGAATGCCCAAGACCTACAATTCCTGGCAAAGTTGCCTCTACCCCTGAATTTGACCCCATGCTGGTCACCTTTTTGACTAAATCTGGCAAAGACCCTCGTAAGGGTATAGAGCAAGGGTTAAAAGCAGCCCAAGACAAGCTTTTGGACATTTCAGGTCCCATAATCCAGATTTTTATCCTGGCAGATGAGGCACTCACTAGTGGTGAATTCGATCCACACGTTATCAGGGAATGGGCTCAGAGAGCTCTTTGCCTATTAGGTAATGCAAACGTGGCAATTTCAATAGAAAGACGAAAAGCGGCACTTTATAAAATTGACGCTAAATTAATAGACCTAAGCTCTAAGGAATTGGGACCAGACGCAGATGGTCTTCTATTTGGTGACAGCTTTATGCGAGACCTCTCTAAGCATGTCTCTGTATTCACAACGCTTAATAAAGCCCAGTCCTCACTACGCAGGGTCTTCCGCTCCCAAACCCATCGTTTTTCCGGGAGAGCTGGTCGCTTCAGGGGCCGAGCTACCAGTAGAGCAGCCTTTACAGGCTATAGGCCCCGACCCACAGATTATTGGTCCTCTGGACCCACAAGACCCTACCACAGACAGCTCTTCAGTTCCAGAGGCTCTATTCGAGGACGTGGCTCTGCATCCCTGCGCGGACGCACTGCTTCAGGTAATGGACCTTACTTATTTAAGAAATGTGTCAATTGCAGGTCGATTAACCCTTTTTTTCCAACAGTGGAAATTACTCTCTCAGGATCACTGGATCCTCCACACAGTCAGGGGTTTCAAAATAGATTTTCTCACACACCCCATTCAGAGCCACCCTCCAACACCCTTAGGGATGTCACAAACAGACAAACTGACCTTAGACTCAGAGTTGTACAAACTATTAGACAAAGGGGCGATCGAACCCTCGCCTTCCCCTTACACTTTCATCAGCAACATGTTCCTGGTACGGAAAAAGACGGGAGATCACCGTCCTATTATCAACCTCAAGGAACTGAATCAGTTCATCACATATCGCCATTTCAAGATGGAAGGTATCCATCTTCTCAGGGACCTTCTCTTCGTGGGAGACTGGTTCTCCAGATTCGACCTCAAGGATGCCTACCTCACGGTCCCAATCGCACCCAGTCACCGTGCGTTCCTTCAATTCCTCTGGCAGGGCGAAATTTGGCAGTTCACCTGCCTTCCTTTCGGGCTTTGCTCCGCCCCTTGGTGTTTCACCAAGTTAATGAAGCCGGTCATGGCACTACTCCGCTCTCGGGGAATACGTTCTATCATATATCTGGACGATATTTTGATCATGGCCCAAGACCAACATTTGCTTCGCAAACATACGCACATGACCTCTGCTCTCCTTCAAAACCTTGGCTTTGTCATAAACTTCCAGAAATCAGACCTGGAACCATCTCAGGTAGTCCAGTTTCTGGGCTTTCAAATAGACTCAGTCCAGGCAACTTTGCAGTTGCCTTACCCCAAAATAAAAAACATAAAGAAAGAAATCCAAAAGTTGCTTTCTTCGCAACTTCCTCGGCTCCGCGACCTTGCACACATTCTGGGTCTCCTATCCGCATCAATTCAAGCTATATTTCCCGGGCCTTTACACTACAGAGCGATGCAGCGGTTGAAAACAACCTACTTGCATCGCTCAGCCTCTTACGATCAATTAATTTCTCTGACGGACGAAGTTATCATCGAACTTCATTGGTGGCTTCGCAACATGGAAGCCTGGAATGGGAAAGCGATTTTCGGATCTCAACCAGATTTTGTTCTGGAATCCGATGCGAGCCTCTTGGGTTGGGGTGCTACGTGTGCCCAAACCTCCACAGGAGGTCTGTGGTCTCCATCGGAACAGGCTCTCCACATAAATTGTCTCAAGCTCATTGCTGGATCCTTCGCGATCCGCAGCTTCGCCAAGGACGTGTCCAACTGCTCCCTGGTACTACGGATGGACAATGTCTCCGCAGTGCGGTATGTCAACCAACTCGGGGGATCCAAATCCAAACTTCTGTCCGACCTCACCAAGGACCTGTACCAGTTCTGTCTGGACCGAAATCTGTCCATCCGAGCGGAGTATCTCCCTGGGCACGACAACTTAGTCGCGGACTGGTTTTCGCGTCATTGGAGGGATGCCAGCGACTGGCAATTAGACCCTCTCCTGTTCCATCACATCCACCTCCTACGGGGACCTCTCACACACGACCTCTTTGCATCTCGCCTGAATCGTCAGACAGACGATTTCTTCAGCTGGCTACCAGACCCTCTATCTCTGGCAGTCGACGCTTTTCTGCAACCTTGGCCACGGGAGGGAGCCTATGCTTTCCCTCCCTTCTCAATGATTCAGCGGGCCCTTCACCGGGTCAAACAGCAGGAGGTCAGGGTAGTATTAATCACCCCTCTATGGAGGGCCCAAACCTGGTTCCCTACCCTCTTGGAACTATCAGTGGACTATCCCATCCTCCTTCCTCGATCCTTTCGAGTCCTCAGGAACCCAATGGGCGATTTCCATCCTCTCGCCCTACAGGGCCATCTTCAGCTGGTAGCTTGGACAGTTTCAGGGGAGCTTGGCATGTCACAGGTCTTTCACGCACAGCTCAAACACTCCTCTGGGAATCGTGGGCTCCAGGAACCAGACGGACCTACCTCTCCGCTTGGCGGAGTTGGGTTAGCTGGTGTCTGGAGAGGGACCTCGATCCCGTTTCAACACCTCTCTCTTCCATTTTAAACTACTTATCATCTCTCTTCGATCAGGGTAAATCTTACCGATCGATTAATATTTTTCGTTCCGCCATTTCGGCGGCCCATGACACTATTGACAATTTCTTGGTTGGGAAACACCCTTCCGTGTGCAGACTTTTACGAGGCATTCGTTTGACGAGGCCACCTTCTGCCAAACACTCTACGTTCTGGGATGTCTCTCAGGTTTTCACACTGTTGGATTCCTGGCCACCTTATGCCAACTCTCTGCGAAATTGGCCTTGCTAATGTGTCTGGTGTCCTTCCGCAGAGTTTCAGACATTCACGCTTTTGACTTTCACGCTGTCACCTTTGCCCCAGACGGTGTCAGATTTACCATCATTAGACGCACTAAGACGAATTCTTCGTCAGTCTTTTATCCATACTTTCCCGATAGGCCGTCACTCTGTGTGGCCTTGTGCACCCGTTGTTACATTGACAGCACTATCTCTTTGCATTCCCCTACCGGACCTCTGTTTGTCTCTTACGTTAAACCTCATAAACCAGTCTCCTCACCCACCATTGCACGCTGGGTGAGATGGTTGCTTACCCAGGCAAGGATTGATAGCTCCTTCGGAGCCCACTCCGTGAGGGGAGCGGCCGCATCCTCTGCTTTCCGCGCAGGCGGCTCACTGGCGGATATTTTAGCCTCCGCAGATTGGTCTAGAGAATCTACTTTTCGCACCTTTTATTTTAAACCAACACCACATGCAGGTGCTTTAAAACAGCAAATATGAAGCCTCCTGTCTTGCCATAAAATTAGGGATTATTCTAGTTTACAGTGAACGAATAATCTAAATTTTATTAAAGACAGGAGGCGAATATTTTCCCTCCCTTCGTTCATTCTGGAACCCACCCTACAGGTAAGTTCTCACTCTGAGATTACTGCATTGTACACTACCTTGCATATTGATTTTGCACGCATACACCTACTATACAGCGAGGGCAAACTTTTACATTCCTTACAGTTGTCTGGTAGGCATACAATTCACATTGATCTGGTAGCATAACATTCCTGTTCCACATTGTACCATTTGTGCTTAAATCAGTCAGGATGCGTATTTGTAATTTTCTCTTCCTCAAGAGACCATACTTTCACGAAGTTTCTTTTCTTCTCTTCTAGTGTGAAAACTTCGAATTAATCTCTCCATCTACCCGTTTACATGGTTGACTTGCTACGGACTAAACCGCAGAATGTTTCAAGTTTACAAGTTAATTTCTCCTATCCTGTTCGGCATCACCTAAGAAAGAGGAAGTGGGAGGAGTCTGGTGGCACTATATTGCTCTATGTTGTGTTATGATTGGTTGAATTTTTTACAACTTTATTAACTATTTCTTTGCTGCTGGGAGTTTCAGTAAAGAAAGATAAGCAAATATTGTCTGTCTTTAATAAAATTTAGATTATTCGTTCACTGTAAACTAGAATAATCCCTAATTGACACCAAACAAACAGGAACAGAGGGGTTGAGGGCAGGGGCGTACCTAGAGCATTTGGCACCCGGGACGGATCCTGTGCTTGGCAACCCCCCTCCCCCCCGCCAAAAAAAAACAAAAAAACCTGTAAAAATTTTTAAAGGTTCTCTTTTTTTTTTCTTCTTTTTTTTACAATTTGTAAAGACTCCTGTCCCAATACAAAACCCCCACCCCCTTCTACAAAATCCCTGCAGCCCCACACACACATTTACAGGCAGACAGTCACACACTCAGTTACAGACAGTCACACACTCAGTTACAGACAGTCACACACTCAGTTACAGGCAGACAGTCACATACAGTCACAGGCAGACAGTCACACATACACATTTCCTCCGTGCGGCCAGTTTATCAGCTGTTTGCTTGTGTGAGCTGTACTGGCCGCACGGCACCCTAACTACCATGGGACACTGCCCTCCAGCCAGGGCAGGTGCAAGGATTTTTGCCGCCCTAGGCAAAAGTAAAGTTTGCCGCCCCCCCCCATGTGACATCACAATGCCCCACCCATATGATTTGCCATGTTAACTAGCGCCAGTGCTGCAGTGCCGCCGTGTTTACATTAAAAGGCCTGCAGGGACAGGCTATAGACACTAGAACCACTACATTAAGCTGAAGTGGTTCTGGGGACTATAGTGTTTCTTTAATGTGAGGTAAATTAGAGCTTAGTGCCACGAATAATATGCTAGATTGCCTACTTACAACCAGATGAGGATGATGATGGGCTCTAGCTGCAGTCTGGCTCCACTGGTCTGGTGCAGAACAGGCTCTCTGGAGGCGGTTTGTAACTGTGGTCACAAAAATCAATGTTCTGGGAGAACGGGAAGCAGCTCCATTTTTTTGGGGTCCTTTACACAGCTCAAGGTCTGGGTCCCAGGGTCCACCTTCATGTTCCACCAATGAGTTTGTTCACAGGGGGGTGGAGTGTGTAGGGGATGTCCTGATATGTGTGTAAGGAATGCATTGTGTGAAATTGTGTTTGTATGTGTAAGGACTGCAAGGTGTGTTTCTGTGTATGTATGGGATGCATTGAATGTGTGTAAGGGGTGCATTGAGTGTGTGTAATGAATGCATTGTGTGTTTCTGTGTGTGTAAGGGAAGCATTGTGTGTAACGGTTGCATTGCTTGTGTATGTGTGTCTGTGTGTGTAATGCATTGTGTGTTTTTCTGTGTGCAAGGGGTGCATTGTGTGTATGTGATGAATGTCAATCTCTCCTCCCGCTCCAATTTCCTTCTCCTCCTCCCAATTTCTCTTTCTCTTTCCCCCCTCGTAATATCTCTTCCCCCCTCCTAATTTCTCTACCCCCCTCCTAATTTCAATTTCTCTCCCCCCCTAATTTCTATTTCTCTCCCCCCCTAATTTCTCTTTCCCCCCTCCTAATATCTCTCCCTCCCTCCTAATATCTCTCCCTCCCTCCTAATTTCTCTTCCCCCCTCCTAATTTCTCTCTCGCCCCCCCTCTCCTTTCTCACCCCCCCTCTCCTTTCTCTTTCTCTCCCCCTCCTTTCTCTTCCTCTCCCCCTCCTTTCTCTTCCTCTCCCCCTCCTTTCT